CCTAACAGTCTTAAAAGTTGGTAAGATGCTTTTGTTCATTTTTCACAGAGGAAAAAATTGAGTATTTGGTTCATTTATTTGGTCAGTAATTAAATAGTGGGTTGCTATTATGTGTTATGTACTGATTTTAGCTTGTTCATAGACAGACTCTACACCAGTTTAGTAATAATAGTAGTAAAAGTGGTAGGAATAGTTGAATTATAGTACTTACATTCACTTTACACATATCAACTTAATTCTCAGGACAACCTTATTTATTATTAAGTACCATTATTTATCCCCATTTTGCAGGTAAGAAACTGAAGAATAGAGAGATTAAGTCATTTATTCAAGGTCACAAGGCTACTGGGTGAGGGCTGGGACTTAAGCTGGAATTTAAGTTCTGAGTTTGTGATCTTAACTTTTGTGGTCTGTTGCCTCTGTAGCATATGATTAGAACGAAGGTATTCTTTTGTTTCCTCAGTCAACTTAAATGCATCGGAAGGCACTAGGAACTGCAAATATTTCTTATCTCATTATATCCTCAAATGCTATTGTTTTTATCTTGGAAATTTTGGGGCAGGGGGATGCTAATCTTGTTCTTGTACTCAAGTATATAAACTCCATGAGAGCAAGGACCTTACGCATTTAGTTTACATCTGTATTTCTACTTTATGCGATAGTGCTTGGTTCATAGTATTTTCTGAAATATTTGTTGAATAAGTGAATTTAGACATGTAGCAGGAAAAAACCCTACAAACATCCAACATAGGGAGATAAATACTGCCAAATACTTTGACATCCTGTTATCAATAAACAAAATGGCACAGCCGTTTTGATAGACAAGAAGTAAGATTCAGTTTTTTCCAGATATGTTATTGTACCTATTAAACTAGAGGCCCGGTGCACAAGTTTGTGCACGGGTGGGGTCCCTTGGCATGGCCTGTGGGGATTGGGCCGAAACTCGTAGTCCAACACTGCCTGCTACTTCTGCTCATCCCAGCCCCACTGCGCCTGCTGTGGGCTCGCGCCCAGTCAATCCTGATTGGGAGAGGCTCTTGCTGCCGCAGCAGTGCCAGCCATGAGCCCTGCGTCTGGTGCCCGTCCCAAGGGGGTCCGGGGAGGGTGGGATGTGATTGGCCTTCTGGGCGGGTGGTGGGATGCCCTTGCTGGCCCAGGATCCGGATCCATCCCGCTGAGTTCGCGCCTGTTGTTGGGAGCCACCTGGCGGCTGCTCTTATATCATTTCTTCCTTGCGGAGCGTCTAGGGAGGGGAAGTGGCTGTAGTGCCCAAGGACAACTTCCAGGAGGCCAGCGGCGCTGTTGGGATCATGCCAGAGGTACGGGTCCGTTCTCCGGAGATTAGACCTGTAGGACTACTGAGGTTGTGAGTGGCTGCCGCCAGACGGGTGGGCCGCTGGGATAGGTCTGGTTGGTCAGCTGAGCGGCACTCCTGCTGTGGAAGCACACTGATCACCATTTGCCAGCTCCTGCGTTGAGCATCTGCCCCTAGGTGGTCAGTGCGTGTCACAGCAACCGGTCGATCCGTCATTCGGTTGCTTGGGCTTTTATATATATAGATTATCTCTGTCTCCCCTTCACTGATCTATCAAATGGGTATATTGAGTAGGTGTAAATCATAATCTAGTAAAGCTTCAATCAGACACGATTCTTGTTCTCAGAGGGAGTGCATACAACATATATGTGGGGAAATTATATGACTATGCAAATGCAAAATAACAGTTTTAAACTACATGAAATATGAAATTAAGAAACTAGAGCTGGAAATCTTGAGATCTCATTCAACCCTTGGTTTATATGATAGATGGAGGAACAAGTTCAGAGAGGTTAAGTGAATTCTCAGACATAGTGCTATAAAATGTTTCTTAGATTGGAATTGGAACTGTAGTCTCCAAAATGGCATTAGAAATTGCATTCAAAGTTCACAGATAGGATAAAATTGACCTTTGATTGATCAGGAAAGCAGTGTTATTTGAACTGACGTTTTGAAAGTTTTGGGTTGAAGGAGAATGTTTCAGGCAGGAGAATAGGAATACAAATGAGAGGAAGTAAGGAAAACATTCTGGGCATCAGTAAAGCAACAGTTGTACTTACTAAGTTTGTCTCAGGAAGTGATAGGAAATGACTGAAGATTGAATTGGGCAGTGATTTGGCCCTTAACTCTTGTTGACTAAATGATTTTCGAGGAAGATTGGTATAAAAGGAATCTGTAATTTGTACTGGGGTGGGGGTACACCTACAAACAGGAAAGATCAGTTAGGAAATTATGTTTTTCTGTTATTAATGAGTGAAGTAAATTAGAGGTATAGTGATTTCCACTGTAAAATGATTTGGTACAGGAACCCTTTGGTTAGCAAATTTCTCAATTTATGAAAATTCTGTCTATATTTACTTTCTCAGCTTCTTCCTTAAAGCAATGTGTTTCTCTTCTCATTTTAAGAAAGAAAATATATAACTTAATTTCCCAGAAAAGCTATTATCTACAGCTATGGTTTTAAAGGTGTTTTAAACTTCAGGTAGGATTTTTGGCCATTTAATATTTTCATAGGGTTTTTCTGTATCTAATCCAAAGCAAATGTGTCCCCAAATATATATAGTAGTAAAAAGAAATCCAAGTGAATATGAACTGATATTTTAGGGTGGGTTCTTTACATTTAGTGGTCATAGACACCTTTGCCTGCTTCCTTTTCATACAACTGGATTCTCTTGCCAATCTCTTCCAGATAATGGACAGAGGATGAATTATTTTTTTCCTGAGCATTCCTAGGTATCTATCAAAAAGGAGATGGTATAGATTTATTTAAAATGTGAAAAGCATTAATATTATGAAGACACTAAATGTGAGTGAGTAATTTATTTTATTGACATTGAAGTACCACAAAACATTTCTTTATATATTGGTGCCTTTTTTTTTTCAGTGTGTTTGTCATTTTTAAATTTTGAGAATGTGTACATATAAAGGAATGTAATTTTTTAAAAGCACATTTTGAATTGCCCTTAGAGTCCAAAGTCTCCTAGGTATTTGAAAGCATGTCATTTATTTAATAGTTATATGCACAGCACTATCTTTATCCTTTTATTTATTTATTTTTATTATTTTTAAAAATATATTTTTATTGATTTTTTACAGAGAGGAAGGGAGAGGGATAGAGTTAGAAACATCGATCAGCTGCCTCCTACACACCCCCACTGGGGATATGTCCGCAACCAAGGTACATGCCCTTGACCGGAATCGAACCTGGGACCCTTCAGTCCGCAGGCCGAGGCTCTATCCACGGAGCCAAACCAGTTAGGGCTCCTTTTATTTTTAATTAAAAAAAGAATTTTTAAAAATGTGTTTATAAATTACAGTTGACATTCAATACTAGTTTCAGATGTACATCATAGTGGTGAGACATTTACATAATTTACAAAGTGATTCTCCCTGATAATTTTAGTACCCACTTGACCTATCTGTCCTTAAGGAGACCCTACAGTTGAACTCAAGGATAAATGTGTGTGTATACCAGTACATATATAATATGCATACATACATAGAAAAAGATAACAGGTAACAAGTTCCATATATTCTCCTATTATTTTTCGTCCTTTGTTTTAGTTTTTTCACCTAATTATAATTTATTTCCTCTTCTAATATTTATATTTATTTTTGTAAGCTGCTTGAAATATTTTAGGGAATGGCAGGATAGAAATCCAACAAATGGGAAAAGTATGACAAAGTAGGATATGGTAAATTTTAAGAGATACTAATAAAGCAGTATTGGGTGTTAGAAGGTGAAGATCACATGCTTTGGAGAAGGTGACATTTGAGAAGAGTTTGATTGCTGTGGGGATTAGCAAGTCATTTTAGTATAGAAAAAACACATAAAAAAGGTTCAAGGTACAGGGAGTACTTATAGAAAAGAACTTAGGACATAGTCTAAGTTGGTAGGAGATAGTGTCTATATATAGGAATATAGAAGATAAGGCTTGCTTTGAAGAGCCTAAAGGCACGATTGAGAAGTCTGGACTTAGTTGGATATAGGATGGAGGCCCCTTTTAGGTTTTGTGCTGTGTAGTGGCTTGTTCACTACTGCGTTTTAGGAAAGTGGTGACTTTACTTGGAATGTCTAGTTGCTTCCTTAATATGGGGAATGAGGACTCAGTAATTCCTCTTCTGTCAGGAATAGAAATAGAGGCACATTCTCTTTGTGGTTGCAATCTGAGCTAATGCTTTAAACCAGTGACCTTACCCTCATTAGGAAAGCTAAAGGAGGTAAGGACCCAGTCCACATATGGTAACACTCCACTTATACAGAAGTTGAACACTGGTAACCTAATCCTTTGGAATACAGCTCTGGAATGTAAAGGCTTCTAAAACTGCTTGAAATTGTTGTCACAAAATAAAGCCATGTGGAATATTTTTGTGTAGCATTTCTGGTCCCTTTTTAGGCTTTTTTCTTTTTAAGCCTTAGATTTGCTAGCTTTACCATCTCAAAGATGATGAAGGAAGGGAAGGAAAAGAAATAGGATTCTGAGACATGTAAGGTAACATTAGGAAAGTATCAGTTTTATAGCCTGACATTAGAAATTAAAACACACACACACACACATACACACACACACAGAAACATGATACGGTATTGAATGTTCACCTTTTGAGTGTTAGATTATGTTTGGTATATTACTTTAAGGAAGCATGAACATAACAAATTCCAGATAGTATTATTGGTTGAGCTATGGGCAAATATAAAGAGAGTATTTTTTTAGTCATATCTGACTCCACTGTATCATTTAACTATTGACAAATCACTTTACTGCTCCATATTGCTTTTTCCTATTGTAAAATAAGTGCTTCATATTTTTCCAGCTGTAAGAAATTAATAACATTATAAATAAAAGTTCTCTACAAATAGAAATTGCTGAGGATACTTTGAGTAGTAAAATTATAAGTCCTTAGTAGATGCTAAAATGTAAGTAATTAGTAATTTTATTTTTAGTGAAATTACTGATGAATAAATGACATCTTAGTTATTTTTTACAAGGTATTTTGTAGACAATTACTAATTTACATATTTTACTATAATAAATATTCTTCAATATTTTCTTTGATATATTTTTTAAATTATCTTTCTCAACACAGTAAATCAAATAATTGTATCAAGGGAAGCTGATTTCTCTTATTTCAGATGTTTTTAATCTCTTTTTAAAGAAATGGATAACTCAGACCACCTTCTTGCATAAGGAAGTTCTTGCTTATGTTTAATATTAAATTAATTTTTTCTTAGTTTTGTCCTTTTAGACAGTTTTGTTGTGGTATTTTCAGCAATGAAGGGTTCGATTCCTATGGAGGAAATACTCTTATGTTTTAAAAGGTAATTTTTAAAGACGTTATTCAGTGAATTATAATAGCAAATTTATTTTGGAAAAAAAGCTTTTTTTTAAGTTATCTTTTTGCTTGATTTTTGTTTCTTCAAGAGTTTTGCTTTGCTTCAGGGTGGTTGAAGTGGATTGAGAAAAATCTCTGGTTTTGACTATAGCTCTGTGCTGTCCATTGCTCAGATGCCGGTAAGCTATCAGTAGTCTGGGTCTTTCCTTTTCTTTCTCTTTTAAAGGGCTTAATCACTGTAGATTGCCTTAACTTCTCTTTTAGAGTCAAGCATAGAGCCATGTCTTATCTTTGGTTGGTACTCCTGATTTGGCTGATCCTAAGCTCTTCTTCATCATCATTGTGTTATTTTCCTCTTTGGGGGATCTACCAAACATTATTTACCAGTTATTCTCTGAAATGACAGCAGGATTTGTATGTTTGTGCAACCAGTTATTTTATTAGGAATTTTTACCTGTTGTAAGGTTCCAGGGAGAAAGGGTGGATCAAGATCAAGAGAAGATGTGATAAGTCCAAAGTAGGTATTTTATTTATTTGTTGTCTCCATTCTTTTTTGTTTGTTTGTTAATCCTCACCAAGAATATTTTTCCCATTGATTTTTAGGGAGAGTGGAAGAGAAAGAGAGAGGGAAATACAAAGAGAAGCATAGATGTGAGAGAAACATATAGATTGGTTGCTTCCTGCAGGGGAATCTGAAACCAAGTTACATGTCCTTGACCGGAATCGAACCCGGTATCCTTTGGTCCGCAGACTGATGCTCTTTCCACTGTGCCAAACTGGCTAGGGCTCATGTCTCCATTCTTGAACCCCATAATAATAAATTACCTTGCTGCATCCCAATTCTTTTAGGAACAAGTATGTTTAGTGCTTATTGAAGATACATAGTATTTGAATTAGCAACCCCTTTAGCTCTTCCTTGGTAAATTTATATAAGATTCATGATAAATCCATAGGGGTGCTGAGTAGTACGTGCCAGATAATTCTAAAATTTCTTTTACTATATAATTGGCTGAAATATTACTATCAGTAAAATATTGTTAAGTAACTTGGTCAAATAACTACTAAATGATGGAGCTAATATTCCACTAGGTCCGTGGTCTGCATACTGCGGCTCGCGAGCCACATGTGGCTCTTTGGCCCCTTGAGTGTGGCTCTTCCTAAGCCTTAGGAGTACCCTAATCCTATCTAATAAAAGAGAAACATGGTAATTAGCGTACATCCGCTACCCTTCCCATTGGCTAATCAGGGCGATATGCAAATTAACTGCCAGCCAAGATGGCGGCCGGCAGCCAGGCAGCTTAAAGCGAACATGAGGCTTGCTTGCTTCAGTGACAGAGGACTCCAACATTCCCCGCCTGCCGCTGCCGGCCTCTGAGCTGCAACTCTAAGCAACTATGTTACAAATATAGAAGCTAAACAAAACCCCAGAAACCTGCTTTAGTTGCTGGACTTCAGCCAGCAGGATCGCAACATTGTTTCAAATACAGAAGGTAAACAAAGGCCAGAAACCTGCTTTCAGCAGCGGAGGCCTAAGAGCTGGAGCCAAGCCTTAGAGCTAAAGCTGGCCCAGAATAAAAAAAAAAAGAAAAAAAGGAGCGGTTGGGAACTTCAGTCACCCGCCAGCCAGAAAACAGCCCTCAGCCCCTCACCCAGACTGGCCAGGAACCCCAGTGGGGACCCCCACCCTGAAGGGTGTGTGACCAGCTGCAAATAGCCATCATCCCCTCATCCAGGCTGGCCAGGCACCCCAGTGGGGACCCACACCCTGATCCAGGACACCCTTCAGGGCAAACCAGCTGGCCCCCACCCGTGCACCAGGCCTCTATCCTATATAATATAAAAGGGTAATATGCCTCCCAGCACCGGGATCAGTGGAGCCGCGAGGCCTCCCGGCAACGGGATCAGCGTGACAGGGGTCAACCTCTGTGTGTGACAACCTCCCTATCGGCCCTGCTCTGTTCGTGACAGGGGAAGGCGCCCCAACCTCCTGATCAGCCCTGCTCTGTGCCTGATAGGGTGGAGCTCCCCAACACCCTGATCGCCCTGCCGCTCTGTGTGTGACAGGCTGCGGTGCCCCAACCCCCTGATCGCCCTGCTCTGTGTGTGACAGGGTGCGGCGCCCCAGCCCCCCTCCCCCCCCCCCAGGCCCTGCTCTGTGTGTGACGGGGTAGAGCCATAACCTCCCCATCGGCCCTGCCCTGAGTGTGACAGTGGTGGTGCCCCAATCCCCTGATCGGCCCTGCTCTGTGGGTGATAGAGGGAGACGCCCCAACTGCCCCCCATGGGCCCTGCTCTGTGTGCGATGGGGTAGAGCCATAACCTCCCCATCGGCCCTGCCCTGAGTGTGACAGAGTGCGGTGCCCCAACCCCCTGATCCGCCCTGCTCTGTGTGTGACGGGGCGGTGCCCCAACTCCCCTATTGGCCCTACTCTGTGAGTGACAGGGGGGAGCTCCCCAACCCCCTGATCGGCCCTGCTCTGTGCGTGACGGGGGGAGCTCCCCAACCCCCTGATGGGCCCTGCTCTGTGAGTGACAGGGGGCAGCGCCCCAACCCCCTGATTGGCCCTGCTCTGTGAGTGACAGGGGGTGGCGCCGCAACCTGCCCATCGACCCTGCCTTGAGTGTGATGGGGGCGGTGCCCCAACCCCCCAATCGACCCTACCCTGAGCGTGACTGAGGGTGGCATCGCAACCTCCCGATCCGCCCTGCTCTGTGCATGACAGGGGCTGGCGCCCCAACTCCCCAATCAGCCCTGCTCTGAGCCCGACCAGGGGCTGCACCTAGGGATTGGGCCTGCCCTCTGCCACCCAGGAACAGGCCTAAGCCAGCAGGTCGTTATCTCCCAAGGGGTCCCAGACTGCGAGAGGGCACAGGCCGGGCTGAGGGATCCCCCCTCCTCCCCCCGAGTGCACAAATTTTTGTGCACTGGGCTTCTAGTTAATAACAATGTACCTACCTATATAGTTTAAGTTTAAAAAATTTGGCTCTCAAAAGAAATTTCCATCGTTGTACTGTTGATATTTGGCTCTGTTGACTAATGAGTTTGCCGACCAGTGCACTAGGTGATTTGATTCCAAAGCTTATACTCTTAATCATTCTGGTGACTGCCCTGGCCCACTGATAAGCAGTAGTAAGAGGTGGCAACTGGCAACTATTAAAAAACAGTCGTTAGTCTACCAGGCATTTGGCTCTATAGACATAATTGGTTCTTCGTTATAGAGTTGTGCAATGACTAATGTTCCTAATGATGATCCTTTCAATTTTAATATAGTTAGTTTGTCTTACTACATTTTGAAAATTAAATTTTCCAAATTTTTGTGAAAGAGTGAACTTTAAATTTGGAAAATTTGCTTATGTGGAATAGAGTTTCTGAGGAGTAAATGAATATAACAGTTTTATGACATGAACATTTCAATAAATCAGATAGTAGCGTTCCATTAATGTCAGCTTTTACTATAAGCTATTGATATTTAGGTTATTTTTTAAGCATAATGTTAATCAAATTACATTATAATACTTTTAAAGTAGAAAACTCACTTTAAGCATTTGAATCATAAGAGCATATTTTATGACTATGATCTTTAATTTGTAATGGTTATAGCTTATATTTGCATCGTATGCTTATTGGAACAAGAAAATGCTAATTTATATGAATGCTTTTATATAAAGTTGAAAACCAGGATTTGCCTTGTCTTTTTACTCATTGTTATAAAAGAGGGAGTTTATTTTTTTAATATAAGAAATTGCATGAGGTATTCTTTTAATTCAAAATTTTTGCAGTAGAGCTGCTTTCCTTTATTTTCATTATATTTTTTCCTGATTTATAAACATTGGAGCTTTAGAAGCACTTAGGATTTTTCTTTTGAATTGTAGTTAACAGTAAAGATCTATCTCAAAGGACATAACAGTTTAAGTTATTTAATAGTAATGTATCATGAATCTTATTCACGTGTTCCATAATAAATAGTCAAAAGTTGCTGAAAGCCAGTAATTTTTACAAGTTGTATAAGTTAATGGCATTCAAGAAATTTTACTCACTGATATGCTTTTGATAGCTTAAATTTGCCATTTTCCTCTATCCATGTAGGCAACCTAATTGAAGAGAGAGTGTTTTAAAAGTAGGGTTACTTTTTGTAAAACAGGTTAAAAGATCCACTTTGAGTTTTTTCTCTAATATTTAAAGTTTTAGTTGTGTTTCCAGTTGTACTCAGATTCTTAGCTCATGAAAACCTATCAGTAGCCTACTAAGTTAGCTTATTAAGAAATCACTCCAGTTTGCAAAAACAAAAGTTTTTAACAAGTGGGCACATAGGCCTAACAAAAATCAAGTTGTGCTATATTTGAGCTTATTGAATATGTTACATAAATGCCGTTAATGCCAATTGTTTGAGTTAGAGGCTTAATACATGAGTAGGGGAGGAGAAACAGAAATAGAAAGGTAATAGAAGAACATTAAAAGGGGTGGAGAATATGTGGTAATTTATAATTTCCTAAACAATTTTGTTGCCTGCATCTGTAAATCTAGCTATATAAATTACTTTGGAAAAATTACCTTGGCTAATTTAAGCAATTGCCTGTTAGCCTAGTACTTTTGTCCTTTACTGGTATTGTGATGATTTAGTTAAGAAATATTTATTGAATGCTTGTTATGTGTGTTAGCACTGTGAAAAGATACAAAGGATACAAAAAGTCATGATTTTTGTCTGGTACCCTGAAGCATCATAGGATGTTGGTATATCTGAATTATTCAAATTATATTATGCTTAGTTGTCATGCTATATGTGGTGTGCATGACAGCTTTTTTATTCAAATAAGTTGATTAAGCTGTAGATTAATGAGCATTGAGCATAATGAGTTCGAGTTTAATGAGCATTAGCCTTGGCATTTATCTGGTATCTAATGTTGTTTATATGACCACTTCATTGTATGACCTTGGTAAATGTAAATGTTTACCAAGGTATTTCCTTGGTATGAACAGGTATTTCCTTACCTGTTCAATGAGAGCTACTTTTGTTGGAAGGATTAAAGGAGATAAAATACGTAGTGCACCTAGCTCAGTTCTTAGTTTTGTAAAGGTGACTGCTCTTATTTCTGTGTCAGATGAGAATGATTCCTTTCTTTTGAGCACTGTTAATTAAAAGTAAAAGCTTGCCTACACATTCAGAGACTTTCTACATACTCTATTTTGCCTTCTAAACCAGTGATTCTGTGTTTTTGTGGTATTTTGGTATAGCTTTTCTTACCTGGGGCTCCATAAGAAAATTAATCTATACAGGAAAAGAGTGACTGCTTTCTCAGTTCTCCTAAGAATGGTCCATACCTGGTATCACCATTCTAGATGCATGAGAAAATGAATTTATTACATGTAATGGAGTCATCAGGGATTCTTTTGCTGAATTCTGGGCTAGGAGTATACTGTATCTAATTATTTGAGAAATGCTTCAGCATTATTAAATTTACAGACACAAAAGTTGTTGCAAAGCACACCTTCCTCTCTTTTTTGATGGGGGTAGGGGAACATTACAAGAATGTAATGCCATGTAGCAGTTTGTTAATACTCCAAAACAGACCCATTTCCCTAATCAAGTGATTTAAAAAGTTTTCATACAAACATTATTT